GAGGGCAGGGCTGACCCCGGGCGACGTCCTGGCTAAGGCCCTTGCCCCCTCGTCGCGGGAACCACAGCCGGCACCGAGGCGGCCCGCGCCTTTAGGGAGCGGACCGAGAACTGGAGAGGCACCTGCCGAGCTGTTTGCAGATAAAAACACAGGCTGCCAGTTCAATGTGAGTTCCAGGGAAACGACGAGTACTTTCCAGGATAACCCCTGACTGCGGATTGGCGCCCTCAGGTGCGTTTTCGTTGCTCAGGAGGTTGAAGGGCATCACGCACCCACGCTCCCGCGGCTGGTGGGCCCGGTTCGGTCTGGGATGGACACGCACGCGGTTCCGGAACCGGCTCTCTACCTTCTAACAGTGTAATTAATCCAAAAGACCAGCTGTCAATCAACTTTTGTGTGAATTTTGGAAACTATAACGCATTAAATGGTAGTCATTTCTACAAAAATTATCAGCTTATAGTAAAAACTGAAAATACTCCCCTCATATATTTGTCTTCTAAACTGACTTTTGGAAGAGTATAAAAAATGAAAAATCTTTTTCCTGTTTCCCAGGGTTATGACCTATAGCCGTTTGTTTTTCCTTCCAGGAAATTTGTGTACGTACAAGCTTCTTCTGGAGAAGTCCTCATTACTTAGAACTAGTTTTTCTGTATTCCTAGAGCTTCTTGTTGGTAGGTTAATAAAAAATGTCGGTAACATCCAGAAGGAGGAAGTTATCACACTAATGGGACCATCGGACACAGGTGTTAACTTTAGGGACCTAAAATGGGAAATTTTGAGCATCCAAATGAGTAACTGCTATTGACTGAAACACATCAAATATATGAAAATTTTTGCTTCATAATGATTTCTTAAAACTGAAACTCATTAGTCATATTTGAAAGTTTCCAGGCCACCAACTCATTATCCTGAAACTTGATAAAGGAAAAAATAAGTATTTATCCTGCCTTTCTTGTATGAATTGCATTTCAGTGTAACCAAAATGCTAATGAAAATCACATCTGATAAATAATGAATGATTGAACAAACACCAGTTTGTTACTCCAATGAAATAATGCAAAGGACAATACTCATCAATAGATGCTAAAATTAAGGTGAAATGTTGATGAGCAACTTTTTAGTAGATGAATTAGGCTGCCATCACCTGAACCCACTGATTAATCTTACCATTAAATCTGGGACAACCAGACATTATCTAAGTCCTAATGCGAAGCAACAGAAAATATACAACATCACCTGTAAAGGATTCTTGTCTAAAAATTGAATCTACATTTAATAAAACTCTAGATTTAATGTCCGGTATAGAGAAGTGACCAGCATTTAACAAGGGGGGAAGGAACTACTATAAAATCAGAGATTTCAGAGACATATAACAAATACAATGTGTGGACCTTGTCTGGATCCTAATTTGTTGAAAGCCACCATAAAAAAACACACAAACAATTTTGAGACAACTGGAATTTTAACATGTACTCAGTCATTAGATGATATTAGGATTGCTGTTAATTTTACTAAGAATGTTAACAGTGTGGCTGTGCTTAAAAAGTAATCATTGATGCATATTGCAATACTTATCCATGTCATTTTTAGATACTTTAAAGGATAGCAAACTTTAACAACTGATAAATCTAGGTGACGAGCATAAAGTTATTCACTAATAGCCTCTCCTTTTCTGTATGTTTGAAAATTGTATAATAAAAATTAATATGAAAATAGCCCAGCCAGTGTTGCTCAGTGGTTGAGCATCGACGCAGTAGGGGGGGGTTGGGGAGGTGTGTGGGAGGTAGCCGATCAATGATTCTCTCTCATCACTGATGTTTCTATCCCTATCTCCCTCTCTCTTCCTCTCTGAAATCAATAAAAATATATTTTAAAAAAAATAAGATCCCTTCTAGCTTTCACATTAAAAAGGGGGGGGGGTAATCATTAGGTTCTTACAAGTAAATACCTTTCAAGGTATTTGTTCCATGTAAATAATCTAAAAAAGACAGTTAAAGCAGAGAGTTTACACTGGCCAATATTTTGATTTGAGCTAAGGTCTTTTTAAGCATGGGTCAACGGATTGGAGTTTGTTTTTTCTTATGTAAATCATAGACATAATGTATCATCTATAATTTTTAGTGTGTTTCTTTAAAGTGGACCTGGAACTTAAAAATACAAGTGAAAGAATCTGAACTGAGAGTCTTAGATTTTTCTTTTTTGCAGTCCTCCCTATCATTTACAATTCTATTGAACACCTGACTTAACACCAAGTTTTCTTAGATCTTCATCTCTAAAGTTTCCCCAACTTTCCTCATAAATAATTTTTCATACTCATATTTCATTGGATTATGTAATATTTAACATAATTACAGCAATGACTGCTACTGGCATAAACAGATTTGGGAATAAACAATTCACTAGAGGTAAACATACAACTTACTTCTCCAGGATACTAGGGGGAGTCTGCAGTGAGCCTTCTAGTCAGTATGCTTTAATCTGGTTAGCCAATCCAGTTGAAGGAGGGGTACAAGGATGGGTAAAAACTGCCTTTATTATAAGCAAACATCCATCTTTTAAAAATCACTCAGTTGCAGGGCACACACACATCCTAGACTACCCAACACTGTAGGGCCTGAAGCAACAGTACAAATGGAGGCCAACCCTGACATTTTAAAGTGTCTAAAACAGGTAAGAATAAACTAGATTAGCCTGTTCTGCCCCCAAGCCCCTGGGTCTGTCTCCATTTACTTCTAACTTCACCTTTGCCAGAAGGGCCCTGGTATGCATGCATGTGGACTCCCCAGTCTGCATTACCAAGCCACACTCCTCACAAACTACTGCCCCTTAAGTATGGAGGTGTATACACCTATAGAGCATTCTGTCTTCAGGATGGACCTGGGAAAGGCCTGCATGTGTTCTGGAAGCAAGCTTTGGGTTGGTTCAGCAGGGAATTCTACGCAGAGGAATGCAAACTCTGAGTGGGTGCAATCCTTGGCTCCTTCACTTTTTCATTCCATGGAGGAACAACCAGAGTGAGGATCAGGGCAGGGACTCTTCTTGCCCAAGTCTTAGTGCATGAATATGCTCACGG